TTTCTCTGTTAATTTTGTATAGTCACAGCCTTAGGCAACAAACTAAATATTCCTTGATATTATAAAAACAAAGTTATACACTATGAGAAACGGTGACTTGATCAGCCCTTGCCTGACTGTTGATGAACAACTTAATACGTTATCCCTCTTAGTATTTTTTTTTTTGGTTGTTCTACTTAATACTTTTGGTTGAATACTGTAATCAATACACAGTTATTCTTAAGTGTTGAAACTTAACTGAAAAGTGATTGCTGGTAAATATAAGAGTGGGAATAAAAGAGGGAAGAGATGTGCAATTTGGGACATACTCAAGCTGACCTGCCCCAAACGGTAGAGTTAGAAACATACCAGGGGATTTCAATTCAATCCGATCAAGGTGGCATGTACCAATGCCATCTGACTAGTCCAAGAGATCAATTTCTGTTCATAATTGATCATAATGATAGGACTAAGAGCCAAAGGGAGCACATAAACAAGACTAGTGTCTGCAAATACTAACTGATAGACTAAAACAGGGAGAGAAAGATCCAACATGGGAAGCAAGATACACAGCAGACTCATAGAATGGCAGATGTCCTAAACAGCACTCTGGCCTCAGAATCAGCCCTTAAGGCATGTGGATCTGGCTGAAAAGCCCATGAGAGTATTTTAGGCATGGAAAGCCAAGACACTCTGGCAAAAAAAAAAAAAAAAAAAAAAAAACTAAATGAAAAATCTCCCGCGAAGTGAAGATCCCAGTGGAAAGAACGGGTCATCAAAGAAGGAGGTACCTTTCTCTGAAGGGAGGAGAGAACTTCCATTCTGACTACGACCTTGCCTAAATAGGATCAGAGTCAGTGAACTCAAAAGGCTTCCATAGCCTTGGCAACTCATGACAAGAGCCTAAGGTGATTACTGATGCCATAAACAAGAGTGTCAATTTGTAAAGTCAACAACAGGAGTCACTGTGCACTTACTCCTCATGTAGGATCTCTGTCCTTAATGTGCTGTACAGTGTGATTTAATGCTATAATTAATACTCAAACAGTATTTTTCGCTTTGTGTTTCTATGTGGGTGCAAACTGTTGAAATCTTTACTTAATATATGCTAAACTGATCTTCTGTATATAAAGAGAATTGAAAATGAATCTTGATGTCAATGGAAGGGGAGAGGGAGCGGGAAAGGGGAGGGTTGCGGGTAGGAGGGAAGGTATGGGGGGGAAGCCATTGTACTCCATAAGCTGTACTTTGGAAATTTATATTCATTAAATAAAAGTAAAAAAAAAAAAAACAAGTTATAAATTAAAGGCATTATAATTGGTTTAATATGGCTGATGTTTTATTGTAAGAAAATGATCTATTGTGGTGAGCTACAGTTTTCTTTATACTTTGCTTGCAACCTAATGATTAAAATATGCTAAAAAGTATAGTTACAATTTCTTTATAGAACTATCAAAGAATTATCCTATAGTTCATATTACATTGCATTTCAAAATCTAATACTTCTGAAAAATCTTTATAAACACTCTTTAACTGTTACCTCTAAAACAGTATATGATGGGCTGGCACTGTGATACAGTGGGTTTAGCTGCTGCCTATGACGCTGGCTTTCCATGAGTGCCAGTTTCAGTCCTGGCTGCTCCTCCTTTTTTTTTTTTTTTAAATAAAGATTTATCTATTTATTTGGAAGTCAGAGTTAACACAGAGAGAGAAGGAGAGGCAGATAAAGAGAGAGGTCTTCTATCTGCTGGTTCACTCCCAAATTGGCTGCAACAGCTGGAGCTGCACCAATCCAAAGCCAGGAGCCAGGAGCCAGGAGCCAGGAGCTTCTTCTGGGTCTCCCACATGAGTTAAGGGGCCCAAGGACTTGGGCTATTTTCTACTGCTTTCCCAGGCCATAGCAGAGAGCTGGATTGGAAGTGGAGCAGCTGGAACTCAAACTGGCGCCCATGTGGGATGCCAGCACTGCAAGTGGCGGCTTTACCAGCTATGCCACAGCGGGCTTGCTCCACTTCTGATCCAACTCCCTGCTAATGCGCCTGGGAAAGCAGCAGAAGATGGCCTGAGTTCTTGGGCCCCTGCCAACCACACAGGAAACCAGGATGAAGTTCCTGGATCTTGACTTCAGCCTGGCTCTGCCTTGGTTGTCACAATCATTTTGGGAGTGAACCAGCAGCTGGAAGATCTCTCTCCCAGTTTCTATAACTTTGCTTGTTAAATAACTAATTAAAAAAAATTAGTATGTGACAGTTAGTGTCTATAACATGAGGTTTTAAATCATTGAAAGTAATGTAATCCAAGCTATGTTAACATTTGAAAATCTTTAAAATTTGGTAAAGTAAATATGGCAGGGATGATCTTTTTTCTTTCTATAGACCCATGATGATTATGCAAGAGAATGAGAGTTATATTTTACATATATATAAATATACTATATATAAATAAAATGTATAAACATTTTTATTAGAAAATATGTAAATGTCTATGAAAAGTAGTCATTAATAATGTAACATTAAATTTACCAAAATCAGTAAGAAACACACAAGTAGATGAACCTTAATTTTATAACATGGCCTTTTGATGGTAGTAGGAAATGATAGTGGGGAATTCCAGAAGACATCAGAGAAAGAAAAGATAAATAGGAAAGACATAGAGAAAGGTGTGTTTTATGTGTGTATATACATAAAAGGGTAGATAGATCATATAGTTCATGGGAAATAGAATTAAAATATGTTTATTTTGGTGCAAAAACCTTAAAATTCATGCATTGATTTTTTTATAATATGCATTTTCTGTAAAGTTTTTGAAGAGCCCTTGTACACATGGATTTCACATATTTTTGTACCAAAATAAACTTATCTTTTAATTATATTTTCCCATAAACTTTATAAAGTACCTTCATACATGGGGACTGAAGTATGGTAAGAAAACACTTGTAAGGAGGGGTTAGAACTATTTTTATAATTGCCATCAAAACATTACAAACTATAAGTTAAAGTCCATGTTATGATTTTTATTTTTATCCTCATGTAAACTAATAACATATACCTTGGAGAAGAAACTTGATCTAGCCAGAAATAAATATATTATGTTAATATAAGCCAAGGTACCTTTTCAGAAAAATCATTCTCATTCACAGCAAGTTAAAAAAAAAAAGCCCAACAGACCTTCAGCTAATTGCACCATTACAGAATCACTCCATTAGAAATGATTTTATTTGACCTCTCAATACAATTAGTGCACTTCCTTAGATATTATTATCTGAATTCTGTAAAACATTTGGTCCAGATAATCAAGTGTCTATATTCATTTTTCACAATGAGAGTCTCTTACAGGTTTTTAAATAAGACAGCTGTGCTCTGATTAAAAATTAAACATCTTAGCTTTTTAAGCCATTTCATTAGACTATATTGAATAGTATATATTGGAATATATTTAAGCAATCTGTATATTTATTATCCCTTAGCATCAAGCTCAGATAAAAATTTTCACCCACAAAATATTGGTGTTAAAGTTTAGATTATCATGATTCTCAGTATTACTTTAATAAAGATAAGAGATACTAGGCAAAATTAAGTTCAACTTATTAATAAGCCAACTTTAAAACTTAACACTAAAAATTGAAATTATTACATAAAAGATTATTTTTCCCTCTTTTACTTCAAGTGTCTGGAATGTCTACTCATTCTTTTTTTTTTTTTTTAAGATTTATTTATTTATTTGAAAGTCGGGGTTACACAGAGAAGAAAGACAAGAGAGGTCTTTCATCCGATGGTTCACTCCCCAATTGGCCGCAACGGCCGGAGCTGCGCTGATCCAAAGCCAGGAGCCAGGAGCTTCTTCCAGGACTCCCACATGGGTGCAGGGGCCCAAGGAGTTGGCCCATCTTCTACTGCTTTCCCAGGCCATAGCAGAGAGCTGGATCGGAAGAGGAGCAGCTGGGTCTCGAACCGGTGCCCATATGGGATGCCTGAGCTTTAGGCCAGGGCAATGACCCGTTGAGCCACAGCGCTGGCCCCTCTACTCATTCTTTGAAAAACTGACTTAATAATTATCAGAGGAACCATTGCTATTGGCTAGCAAAACCACTGTTTATAATATTTTTTATTACTAAGCATCATATAACCCAAGGTAATATATAATAACTACAAGTCATGGGATAAATTAGTCATGAAATCAATTCAGTGAGTTGTGACCAGCATGAAACACAGAAACAGAGTAGAAAAGATTAGAATGCAGTAATAATAATGCTGTTTTCTGAAACTTTGGTTTCAGTAGTGTTTATGTTCATAAAAATATACATACATTTATTTGGTCATGCTTTAAGATAACATAAAATACCATGGTAAAATAAATAAATGATATAGCAATACTAGAAAGAAAAACAATTTACTGTGGGAATTCTGACTGTATTTATAATGTCTTCAGGCAGCAGGCATTTGGCACAGTGGTTAAGAGGCTACACGGGATGCCTGCATCCCACACTGGAGTGCTTGGGTTCAAGTCCTGGCTCTGCTTCTGATTCCGGATCCCTTGGCAATGCACACCATGGGAGGAGCAGGTGATGAATCAAGTGCTTGGATCCCTGCCACCCACATAGGAGATCCAGGTTGAGTTCTAGGCTCCCGGCTTTGGCCTGGCCCAGCCCTGGCTGTTGCCGGCATTTGAGTAGTGAATCAGCAGATGAAATATTTCTGTCTCTTGGTCTCTCTCTCTTTCTGCTTTTCAAATAAAAAGTGAAATAAGAAAAGTGACAAAGCCAGAATTCTACACTAAAAAATAAGCATAAGTAAATATTTTTACAATAATACAATAATATTTCCTGCATAACTTCAATGGATTTATTTATTAAGCTAGCCAGCATTCTGTCTGTTTCCTGCATCTACTTTGTATGTCTGTTTCCTGCATCTACTTTGTATGTCTGTTTGTATGTCTATATTATTAGTTTCCAAGACAGGTTTCATAAAATAAAGAGTGGAATGAGGTTAAAGCCTAAAAATTTCCCATTTATACACTCTTACCTGTCGGTAATCCTTTTCCTCTCAATCGGTCTCGAATAGCTTGGCTTCGATCAGCTTTTTGTTCACTGTTACAGGAAAGTTGATCTGTCTGTACACAGGTAATCAAAAATCAGGTTTGACAAAAGAATTTCCCTTCTGTTTTCACAGTAATTATCTACAGAATGACACTAGTTGTAGCTAGGGTATAACCTTAAGTAAAGAGATTCCATGTCCCATTATCAATTTATATTCCTTGGATAAGATTTATGTAGCCAAGTATGGGCTAATTTTTCTTCAGGATATTAAAAGGTAAGAAATAATCATCAAGGAGTAATCTTCTAACTGGAATGCAGTTAGCCAGATTAAAGCATGTAGTTAAAATTTCTATTTGAAAACAGTAAACTTGAAATGATTTCTTTCCCAATTGGTAATTACTTTCATCTCTCAAGTTAGATTTTGACTTTAAAAACACATTAATTTGGGTATAATAAAGCTTTCAATGATTGTAACTATTGAGGGACTATTTAAAAATTTTTTAGAAATAATTTTCTAGATTTTGCCTGACAGGAATTACATTTGAGAAGTGCTAATTCTTCAAACTAAGTGAACATAAGGGAGCTGACAGTTATATTTAAATCAATGATCTTTTGATTCCTCTTTATGATAAAATATTTAAGTAGTATTTAATAATTTTAACAAGGATATTTGCTAAAATAAAGCATCTTAAATTATGCCAAACTCCATTATGAAATATAAAAAGTTAGATGAGAAATATCAAGACATAGAGAATTGTGATGAGAAATTACTTACACCTGGCACCAAGATCGTGCATAAATGTTTACTTACACGTAAACACACATTTTTAATATTCCTCCATCAGTGAAACTTATTTACAAATGGATTAAAAACCTACGACAAGTATATTCAAGGCTAAAGCACTATGTTTTCTACCTATAAGAAGAGTTACATGGAAATGTTTCTGAAATAATGTTATCAATTAAATTGTATAAGATATTCATCCAAATGACACTGTAGTGTAACAGAAAATACAATGAGCATCCTATATCTTTGGGACTCCTGGTAGTAAGGCAACTATTAAAATAGCTGTTGCTTTCTCAACAGTTACTATATGCCAGGTACTGCTTTAAGTACTCTACAAACTTTACATTTAATCCTCAAAACAACCTCATATGGGATATTACTATTATCGCTGAGCTACAGAAAGGGGAGAAATAGCAAAGGAACTTCTGAGGGTCTTGAAGCAGTTCATCAATACTGAAATAATTATTTCTCCACAACTGTTCAGTAACATGGGCGGACAGCATATATATTAGTCCATTTTATAGATAATTAAACTGAAGTCAAAATGTTAAAACTGTTTAAGAACCAGGACAAGCAAACTGTCTTTTTCACTTTTACTCTGTGCTAATTAATTTTAGGTGTGAAAGGAACATGGTCACTTAGAATGAATTCCACACTAGTGAAAGACTAACTCTTTCTATCAGTTACTGTAGACAACAGCTCCAGGGCAGCACCATGGCTACAAACATGGCCCTTGGAGTAAGAGAGAGCCAGGTTCCAATTACGGCTCTGTCATTTACCATACGTGTGGTCATGCGTAAATTCTGAAGCTTAGTTTCTGCATCTCTAAAATGAAGATAACTTCTTTTAACCTGGGGTTAATACGATGAATAAATGTGAAAATGCACATAAACCCCATAGCACAGTGCCAGTGCTTAGCAAACATTTGAAGAATGGCAGCTTTTGGAGTTACTTCTATCTAGTGATGCTCAGGAGACTTAGCAAAAGCAATGGAAAGCTTGGGGAAGCTTTATACTTGGTGGAAATTGACTTTTGAAACAGACAAGCTCTCTCTATGCTGTTTCCAATTGTTCCTTCTACTCTTCTCTCTCACTAAATAACCCCATGACATAACCTTATACTAGACTTATTACTGTTCCCCAAACACACCCTGCTTTTTCCCATTTTATAGCATTTGTCCAAACTTTTTCTATCTAACCTACAGGATCTAGTTCAAAGTCATTATAATTTGTACCCTTTTCCTTCAAAATTCTTAAAGCTTTTCAAATTTTTAGTTACTTTTCATAGCCCCCTTTGCATTTTATAATTACATATATGGTTACAGCATATCACATAAGAGCTCCTAGATCAAGTATTATATATTTTTCAGTCTCTACACAAGTCTCACACATAGAACAGCAATAAATATTATAACACACTGAGCTAAATGCTAAACCTTAAAGGGAAAGAGATCTTTTATGTAATATGAACAATTGTTGGATAGATAACAGGACTCCTATGGGGGAGTATTTTTCAAGGAAATACAGAAGAGAAAATATTACCAGCACTTTTACAATAGCAGTAAAGTCAGCAAAGAGCACAAATTCTTATAGAAGCTCTGGTGTAACGGAAAGGTCCCTGGGCTGGCTAACAGGGCATTTAAATCCCATAGTTGCTTGAATCTCAATTTCCTCAACTGTAAATAGAGGATATTTATAGAATATCAGTAATATGAGAAAATCTTCAGGAAAAAAAAAATCCCTCCAGGAGTAAATAAATTTGGGCAATGTTTCATCCACACGCTTATTTATCTGTCTTGATGGTTAGCAACAGGTTTAGTGCATAAGGGTTCTGAGAAGTTTTGCAGTGAAAATACATGTGATTTCTTTTAATAATTTTTTCTGAAGCTTATTTGATCATAGAGGAATTTTCTAAATGAAAATATATTTGAAAGATTGTTAGAATTTTTTTTTTTTGACAGGCAGAGTGGACAGTGAGAGAGAGAGAGAAAGAGATAAAGGTCTTCCTTTGCCGCTGGTTCACCCTCCAATGGCCACCGTGGCCGGCACGCTGTGGGCGGTGCACCGCGCTGATCTGAAGGCAGGAGCCAAGTGCTTATCCTGGTCTCCCATGGGGTGCAGGGCCCAAGCACTTGGGCCATCCTCCACTGCACTCCCTGGCCACAGCAGAGAGCTGGCCTGGAAGAGGGGCAACCGGGACAGAATCTGGTGCCCCGACTGGGACTAGAACCTGGTGTGCCGGCGCCGCAAGGCGGAGGATTAGCCTACTGAGCCGCGGCACCGGCCAGATTGTTAGAAATTTTGATCTGGATGAATAGACATTCATAGGTTTCTAATAGCTTTCTTTGTTCCAAAAAACAAAAATCACGTGCAGAAACAAGATAAATAAATAAAAGTGGAACTGCTTTGTTGAAGAAGGGAAATGAGCAAACAAGCCTAAGAATCTCATTCACCCAGCCTCTCCTACCTATATTCCGCCTCACTACAGAGCACAGAGGTGCAGTGGGGACAGTCTACAAACCATCTGTCCAGAAGATTTCTGAGACTGTTTCTTATTAACTGGGAAAGTATATGAGATTTGAGTATATTCCTGGTAACCATACGATGTCTTGGTTAAGATGGGGGAGCTAACAACCTAGAAATAAGGAAGTAAGAGGAGCACAGAAAGAATACTGCGTTAAGCAGCAAATTTGTAGCCCAAACAGAATGGATCTTCACTCAGAGACCACAGCTGTAAAGTGTAAGAGCAGATGAAATTTAGATCCGATCAGATATCAAACATCAAGGAGTATCCAAGTTAGGGCCTAAAGGATAGCATATAATTTAAGAGATGTGAAACATAGGTGGAACTATTGCATATACAGTTTGCCACTCTTGGATTCTTCATGTGCCAGATGAGAGAAAATGGAAGAGTCCCAGTCTTGGGGCAATTGGGCCAGGATACAACCATTGATCTCCACTGCACATAAGGTCTAGAGAATATGGGGAGGGTTGGGGGACTACCTAAGGGCTCCAGACAAATGTGTGGCCAAAAGTATGAAGCAAAAGAAAGCACATCTAAATATTTCTAAAACTCAGTTCATATGTTAATACAACTTTCTCCTGTTCACAACAGACACTACCATTTGCTACAAGCTCTTCACAAAAAAAAAAAAAGTCTAAGAAAGAAGGAAAAAATTGATACTTCAAGGATGTTCTGATTCTATAGTATTTCCTGAGATATAATTCTAAAGAAAGACCAACTCTTATAAAATCTCAGACTAAGTTATTGTAATGGGTTTCTAAATTTTAGGTATTCTTTCAAGAAAACATCATTAGAACAAAAAAATTCCATTTCCTAGTCCTAGTCTTCATTGAGAAGACTATCTAGATGCAAGTGTTATCTTAAGCAGATACAACGACGTGCTCGTAGACTGAAGAGGTGAGTGTTTTTACCAACTGAAACTGTAGCTTACCCCAGAGAGACTTCCCAGAACCAGCTTTACCAACTGTTTCACGTAGGAAAAGGAAGGCGCACAATTGCTATTCCTGATGTGGGCGCTGCAAGCATCTAGGACAGTCCGAACAGAAACCCGTGCGTAAATCACATCCTCACACATTCCGAGCAATATGCTGTTGAGATGATCGCCAAGTTTGATGGGCTGAATATAAAGAAAGGAAAAGCTATGTTAGCAGGTGTGAGTAAATCTTCCTAATATGGAGCAAGTCATTGTAGGAACCTAGGCAACCATACCAAACACATTCAAAATACTTGAAGGAAATGAATCTTTCTCTAGTAACAGATCTTACTATTTTACCTTTCCATGGTCCCCAAAAAATTATTATTAAAAAATGGTTAACAAGCATCTCCTCAGGTAGGAAATAATATGGAAAAACTGTTTTTAATATGATAAGGAAGTCAAATTCTTTGGTTATCCAAATATTTTGGCAAAAAATTACTATACATACATATTTTTTGAGAAACAAACTATTTCCTAACCATGGTAACTTAAACGTGATTTCAAATCTTTTTAATGGCTTAAGATCATTTAAATAGGGGCTGGAGCTGTGGCGTAGTGGGAAAAGCTGCCACTTGCAGTGCCGGCATCCCATATAGGCCGGGTTCAAGTCCCGGCTGCTCCACTTCCAATAGAGCTCTCTGATGATGGCCTGGGAAAGTGGAAGAAAATGGCACAAGTCCTTGGGCCCCTGCACCTGCGTGAGAGACCCAGAAGAAGCTCCAGGCTCCTGGCTTCGGATCGGCTCAACTCCAGCCATTTGGGGAGTGAACTGTTGGATTGAAGACCTTTCTCTCTCTCTTTCTCTCTCTCTCTCTCTGCTTCTCCTTCTCTCTGTGTAACTCTGACTTTCAAATAAATAAATAAATAAATCTTTTAAAAAACAAGATCCTTTAAATATAAGTTCTAATGATGTTGGGAAAACCAAGTAGCCAGAATGTGACTTTATTTCAGTTAGCTACCATAACTTGCAAACATTATATACAAATGGCTAATAAGTCTATGAAAGGGTGGCCAATATTATTACTAACAAATCAAATGGAAACCACAAGCAGACACTATACATTCAGTTAAATGGTTAAAAATAAAAAGACTAATAATACCAAGTATTAGCGAGGAGTGGGACAGGGAACTTTAATCCATTGCTGATGAAGTTTAAATTGGTACATCCACTTTAGTCTAGACAGACGCCTTCTTTACCACCCTTCTACTTCTTATTCATTTGGGTATTATTCCATAGATGCAATGCCCATTAAGAACCTATCCTGGTTCTCCTACTCAGAAATGCCAGTTCTACTTTTCCATAGCACATTTCATTTTCTCTAACAGAATTGAATGCATCATTTTATCCTTGGCTATTTAGTTTTCTGAATCTCCTGATGAACTTTATAGGTATGGGTCACTGTTGTCTAGTATCATGTCTGATACAAGGCAGGCTCTAACTTTAAATTAATATTAAATATAACCAGAGTTATTATGATTTCTGATCATAAAATACAGCTTTATATTTCCCCTCAAATTTATACATTGATATTGACTTTCAGTTATCAGAAAACAGTCTTAATTATAGACTATAATCTCATTTCACATGTAAATTAGACTATAAAATATATGATACCAATTTGTCCAGTGATAATATAACATTTTCATTTATAGCTACAAAATTGAAACTAATAATAAGAAAATATATAGCATATTTCATGTAAAGTGAGATTAAACTGAGTTGAAACACATCATTCATCTTTCATGGACTTTAATATGTTTGAATTTTAGAGTGAAAATCTAAAATGCTTGTTAATTCTTATACTTAATAAGAAAAAACACACCTAGCTATTTTTGGTGTTGACTTCTAAATGCTTAAAATGAAATCTAATTCTATATATCTTTGCCTTGATAAAATATAGCTATTTAAAAATTCAATTACTGTTTATTACTATATGTGTATTGAATCTTAGGAATCAGAAATTATTTTAGAAAATAAAGACTAGAAGTAGCCCAGTGGTCACTGAAGCTCAAGATCTCAAAAACTATTAAATTAGTGGCACAGTGGGTTAAGCCGCCACCTGCAGTGCTGGCATCCCAAGTGGGTACTGGTTTGAGTCTGGCTGCTCTAGTTACAATCCAGCTCTCTGCTTGTGGCCTGGGAAAGCAGTGGAAGATGACCCAACTGCTTGGGCCCTGCACCCACATGGGAGACCCACATGGGAACTCCTGGCTTCAGAATGGCCTAACCTCAGCTGTTGCAGCCATTTGGAAAGAGAACCAGTGGATGGAAGGCTTCTCTCTCTTTCTGCCTCTGCCTCGCCCTCTCTGTAACTCTGCCTTTCAAATAAATAAATAAATCTTTTTTAAAAAAAGAATTAATATCTTTATCTAGTATAGCACAGGTTGTAAAGTATTATTCTGAACAGCCAGGAGAAAAAAATAAGGTTCTCTGATACTGAGACACAGTTACAGCTACTATTTCCACAGTTTTTATATGAAAAAGTTATCACTTTTAGTACAAGAATAAATCATCAAGGACATTTATAATCCCTACTTTCAGTCATTAAACTAGAACACTTCCATTTCTCTAATGACAATGAAGAGTTAACTCCATCTCACAGACTGAACTATTGAAACTGGGTAGTGACAGCTACAATTCTAAGAATATCTCAAAAAGTACTTCCTGTAGTACTTTATTGTATAAGTGTAACATCATTAATGTGAATAATTAGCACAGAGATGCTGGTGTGCCTGAAAGTATACTATAAAACAGATATAAATAGATGGAAGAGCTTTAAAACATTTGTACAAATGTAAAAAGTGTGACAAATGTAAAAAAATGACTTACTTGGCTTTGAGGTACTTCATGATCAGCCCCCCAATACAGTGTCATTCCAAGAGAATATATATGGATCTAGAAACACAATTTAAAAAAATAATTTTATACTAAAATAAAATTTAAAACTTAGCAAATACTATACAATTAGAATTTTTGTTCCAATTAAAGTGTAACATGATTTGAGAAAAATAATTTTTCAATTTTGCATAAGAGTAAATACTTAAAATAGAAGACAGATTCCTCCCCACCCCCAATTTCTTTAGCCTGTTCTCTATGGGTAATCATTTTTATTAGTCTTTATGTATTAAAAGTTCCTTTACACAATTTTGGGCAAATATGAATATATATTCTAATTACCTCTTTTATAGAATGTGAAAAAGGAAAATTTACTCAGAACCTTGCATTTCTAACTTATCAATGCCTGGAGAGTTTATCTATTTTTACTGCTGCATAGAATTCCAGTGTGTGGTTGTAGCATTGTTTATTTAACCAGTCTGTATTAGTGGGCAATTAAGATTTCTTGCAGGGGTGGGTACTTGGCACAGTGGTTAAGACACTGCTTGGGATGCTTACATCCATATCTGAGTGCCTGGGTTCAAGTCTTAGCTTGACTTCTGATTCCAGCTTCCTGGAAATGATCACCCTGGAGGACGGCAAATGAAAGCTCAAGTACTTGTGTCCTTACAGCCATGTGGAAGACCCAGATAAATTCAGGGTTCTTGGCTTTGGCCTGGCCCAGCCCCAGCTGTAGCAGGCATTTGGGGAGTGAACCAGTAGATGGAAGATCATATTCTCTCTCTCTTTTTCAGATATATAAAAGTAAATAAATAAGTCAAAAAATTTTAATAAAGATGGGGCTCACATTGTGGTGCAGTGGAGCAAACTGGCCAGCATCAGAATGCCAGTTGAAGTCTCGGCTACTCTGTTTCTGATGCAGCTTCCTGCTAATGTTCCTGGAAAAGCAGTGGAAAATGGCTCAAATACTTGGGCCCCTCCCATCCATGTGGAAGTCCAGGACAAAGTTCCTGGTTCCTGGCTTTGGCCTGGCCCAGCTCTGGCTGTTGTGGCCATTTGGGAAGTGAACCAGTGGATGGAATATCCGTGTCTGTCTCTCTCCATCTCTCTCTGCCAATCTACTTTAAATAAATAAAACAAAAATTTTCTTTAAAAGATTTCTTTTCTTTTTACCATTACAAATAATACTTCAACAAATAGACTTATGTCATTTTGTACATGCAGGTATTTCTTATGAACTGATAAAATCACAGGTAGTTTTGATACATATTGTCAGATTCCCTACATGGAACTTTTACCATTTTGTACCTCTACCAGCAATCTGTAAGAGTTTTCCAGAAGCAGAAGCTTTGTCCATAGACTGTGTTATAAAGATTTAAATTTTTGCCCATCTGAAATGTGATAAAAAAAAATCTCAGCGCAGTTCTGATTAGCATTTTTTTTTCATTATAAATGAGTGGAGTGCTACAAGGAAAATGGATCACATTTGCTTCCAAAGATGGGAAGAAATAGCATATGTTTATTATAGAATAATTTCCATCAGGGAAAACTAAAAATGCCAGAGAGGGTGGTGATTGCTGGAGGACACTGTTGAGAAGGCAGAAGGAGAGGGAAGCTAAAGCGCTAATGAAGGGGTTGGCTCCAGTGCTAAGCTGGTGGTGGGGTCCTGGGAAAGTCTGTCCTGATTGTTTCTACCTTTTCTGTATGAAGCAGGAAGCAGGATTATTATCTCAAAGTGAGGATGGTAATCTTGGAAGCAATGATCTTTCCTTTTTTTCTCCTGTTAAGATTCAGGGCTAACTTTTAGTCCATTTCTATCAATGCTGAATTCTTACCAGATGTATAAATGTATGCATGTATGTATGTGCCACACCTTACTCCAGCTTCAACTTACTTTCCTTTCCTCAGATTTTAAAAAATTCTATAGACTATCTCAAATTCTCTTTAGAGATCAGTGACATACATACACACAAAGATGGATACCCTTCTTATAATCTCAGAGCACTTTCAGTTATTCCTTACATTGCCTCCTAACTTTATACTACCACAGATTTAAAAATCTGTTCCACTTCGCAAATATTTTCATGGCTTTCAAGTTTTAAAAATTCAAATTCTTTGTAGTGGCATTTGGGGTTTATTTTGACTTGTCTCCAATTATACTTTGTAGGCAGATTTTTTTTTCTTTTGATAGGAAGAGTTAGACAGTGAGAGAGAGAGAAAGGTCTTCCTTCCATTGGTTCACCCCCAAAATGGCTGCTGCAGCTGGCACACTGCGCCGATCCAAAGCCAGGAGCCAGGTGCTTTCTCATGGTCTCCCATGCGGGTGCAGGGGCCTAAGCACTTGGGCCATCCTCCACTGCCTTCCTGGATCACAGCAGAGAGCTGGACTGGAAGAGGAGCAACCGGGACAGAACCCGGAGTACCAGTGCCACAGGTGGAGGATTAGCCTAGTGAGCTGCGGCACCAGGCTGCAGGCAGATTTTCAGGTTTTCCTTTAATCATCTGTCTTCTACTATTACAACCTAAACACTTCACTACAACTAGTAATTCTCTGTTGGTAAAATACATCATTTTCTTTCCCACCATTTCTCAATTTATTCTTTCCATCAATAATATTCTTTCTTTATCTCTGTCAGCGAAAGTCCTCCCCATTATTGACAGGCCAGAGATGATGTTTTCCATTATATATGTCATATAAATCTTTTCAAACAGCATAAAGTATTATTGCTCAGGTAATACAGGTGCATTCCATTTGTATCTCTAATGAGGAAGTTACCTTTTACACAGATTTGATAGTATCGAGTCAGATTTAGGCCCTTGATCCATTTTGGGTGGATTGAATCCACATCTGCTGAATTCAACCAGATGTGAATAAAAGATAACATAATACAGACTATTTGTACCCTATTTCTCTTTAGGCTTATTTTTATTTGCTTAAAAAAAATTTAATTGAATAATCTTCCTATAATTTACTTTGGACACCTGAAATGAAAATTCAACTAGTTTTCCTCCTTCTACAATGTAATATCTAAACTTCCCCTTCTCTGTTCATTTTTCTTTTCTCTTTTTAAAAACTTTATTTGAGGTATACAAAGTTCATGTATTTTATATATACTGATTTAGGAAAATAGTGATACTTCCTACCTTACCATCCCTCCTGACCATGCTCCCACACTTCTTCTTCTTCCCTCTCCTATTCTCACTCAATTTTTACAAAGATCTATTTTCAGATTACTTTATACTCGTAAGGTTAACGCTACACTAAGTATTCAACAAATAGTATGAAGTAAAAGACACTATTCCATTACAGTAGAACAAAGGGCTGTAAACAATCATCAAATCTCAAAATGTCCATTCCACCACAATACATTATCATTTCGGTAATCTGTTAGTTACCACAGATCAGGGAAATCATATGGTAATTGTCTTTTTGGGACTGACATCTTTCACTAAGTATAATGGTTTCCAGTTGAATCCGTTTCACTGCAAAAGACCTGATTTCTTTTTTTTTTATAGCTGAGTAGTATTCCATAATGTATATATACCATAATGTCTTTTTCCAGTCATAAGATGGTGGACATCTGGGTTGATTCCATATCTTAGCTACTGCGAATTAAGCTGAAATAAACATGTGGGTAAAGATCACTCTTTCATATGCTGGTTTCATTTTGTAAGGGTGAATTCACAGGAGTGGGATGCTGGGTCATAAGGTAGATGTTTCAGATTTCTGAGGTATCTCCTTACTGACTTTCACAGTAGCTGAACCAGTTTATATTTCCCCACATCATCACAAGTAGTTTTTGTCTGTTGACTTTTATATAAGAGCCAATATAACTGGGGTGAGGTGAAACTTCATTGTGGCTTTGATTTGTATTTCCCTGATGGCATTTTTTCATGTGTCTATTGGCCATTTGAATTTCCTCTCTTGAAAAATGCCTGTTCAAGTCCTTTGCCCATTTCTTAACTGAATTGTTTGGTTGTTATCGAGTTTCTTGAGCTCTTTATAGATTTTGGATATTAATCCTTTATCAGTTTCATAGTTTGCAAATATTTTTTCCCATTCTGTTGGATGTTTGTCTTTTTTTTTTTTTTTTTACAGGCAGAGTAGACAGTGAGAGAGAGAGAGAGACAGAAAGGTCTTCCTTTGCTGTTGGTTCACCCTCCAATGGCCGCCGTGGCCAGCGCGCTGCATCCAGTGCACCACGCTGATCCAATGGCAGGAGCAAGGTACTTATCCTGGTCTCCCCATGGGGTGCAGGGCCAAAGCACTTGGGCCATCCTCCACTGCACTCCCTGGCCACAGCAGAGAGCTGGCCTGGAAGAGGGGCAACCGGGACAGAATCCAGCGCCCCGACCGGGACTAGAACCTGGTGTACTGGCGCCGCAAGGCGGAGGATTAGCCTAGTGAGCCGCGGCGCCGGCCTGGATGTCTCTTCATTTTGCTGAGTGCTCCTTTGGCACTGCAGAAGCTTCTCTACTTGATGTAATCCCATTTGTCTATTTTCCATTGAGTGCCTGTGCTTCTGGGGTCTTTCCTGAGAACTCTTTGTCTATGTCAACGTCCTGCAGAGTTTTTTTCAATGTTATCTAGTAATTTGATGGTATCAGGTTGTAGATTTAAGTCCTTGATCCATTTTGAGTGGATTTTTGTGTAAGGTATAAGGTAAGGGTTTTTTTTTTTTTTTTTTTTTTTTTTTTTTTTTGACAGGCAGAGTGGACAGTGAGAGAGAGAGACAGAGAGAGAAAGGTCTTCCTTTGCCGCTGGTTCACCCTCCAATGGCCGCCGCTGCAGCCGGCGCACCGCGCTGATCCTGGCAGGAGCCAGGAGCCAGGTGCTTTTCCTGGTCTCCCATGGAGTGCAGGGCCCAAGCACCTGGGCCATCCTCCACTGCACTCCCTGGCCATAGCAGAGAGCTGGCCTGGAAGAGGGGCAACCGGGACAGAATCCGGCGCCCCAACCGGGACTAGAACCCGGTGTGCCGGCGCCGCAAGGTGGAGGATTAGCCTATTGAGCCACGGCGCCGGCTAAGGTAAGGGTTTTGTTTCATATATTTGCATGC